CAGAAATTTATACAACCCAGCACAGCAAAAGAAAATTAATCTGCAAATAAAAACCATCCACCTGATATTTACAGATTCTTTTCTAATATAAACACTTAAATCACTTTGCTATAAATAAATAAACATCACTGTATTGTCTGTGGAACTCTCCAGAATCTGGCGAGCAACAAATCATCTGAGTGACTGATTAGTTTCATTTTATTTCAAGAAAGCCAAAATTAGATTGATTTTAAAATGTTCAGAAAATAAAACTGGGATCCTTGGCTCAGTCTGTGTGGGAGCTTACCAAAGGTGTTAATGTAGTTGGGAACATCAGCACTTTGGCATGCATGAATGACAAGTCTGGAAGGCTTGCTATCACTTTGGCTGCTTCCTTACTAAGAACTTCCTCCTTTTTTGGTTTCCTAAAGAAAAGAAATAATAGTTATTATAAATTCAAATTATTAATCAAAGGAGTACTTTAAAATGTTCATCATTGATTTTTATAAATCAGATTAAATTAAATGCATAAAGTCCAAAAGTCAAATATTCAAATAAACCAAGATCAGTGTAAAGTAACAAAAGCTTAACTCCCTCTAAAGGGCTTGAGATTACAAACTCACTGTGTTTACACATTTTCATGCCAAGACAATTCACATGACTGGATACAACACAATCTCTGAGAACCAACAACTTGGTCAGAGGGATGGATTTAAGGAACATCTTAAAAGGTGGAAGAGAGGGGTCGAGGGGGAGGCAGAGAGCGCGAGTGAGATTAACAATTCAGGCAGGTAAATTTACAGCAGCCAACAGTGCAGTGATTAAAATTGGATATGAACAATCAGGCAAAACGAGGGCAAAGTGGAGATCTGGGGTGAGGGAAGGAAGGACTTGAAACATGAGAATTTTAAAATCAAGCCACTGATGGACTGAGATTCACAGGTCAGCAAGGAGGGGGTGATTGGAGGAGAGAAGTTGGATAATCAGGAGGGGATGCAATGGTCTAGTGGCATTAATCCAGAAATTTAGATTATGTCTCAGGTCCAATTTCCAGCAGATAATGGAATTTAAATTCAATAAAAAAAATCTGGATTTAAGAATCTACCTAAGACCATGAAATCGCTGTCGACTGTCGAATAAAACCCCATCTGGCTCACTAATGTCCTTCAGGGAAGGACATTCACCATCCTCACCTGGTCTGACCTACATGCCACAACATTATAGAACATTATAGAACATTACAGCGCAGTACAGGCCCTTTGGCCCTCGATGTTGCACCGACCTGTGAAACCAATCTGAAGCCCATCTAACCTAAACTATTCCATTATCATCCATATGTTTATCCAATGACCATTTAAATGCCCTTAAAGTGGGTGAGTCTACTATTTTTGCAGGCAGGGCATTCCACGCCCTTACTACTCTCTGAGTAAAGAACCTACCTCTGACATCTGTCCTATATCTATCACCCCTCAATTTAAAGCTATGTCCCCTCATGCTAGGCATCACCATCCGAGGAAAAAGGCTCCCACTGTCCACCCTATCTAATCCTCTGATCATCTTGGTTGACTCTAAACTGCCCTCTGGGCAAATAGGGGCAGGCAATAAATGCTGGCCTAGCAGTGACACCCTCATTCTGTGAATGAATAAAAACAAAGAGCTAATTGGATGGGAAAGAGAAAGCTTTGCAATAACCAAAGTACAGATGGAAAGATATAGCTGAGGCAGAGGCAGGCACTGCTGCAAATACGCTTTCTTGCTGATGGGGAGGATACAGAGATCAAAATCTCAGCTCAGAGCCTGAATAGTTTGGCGTGGCCCCAGAAAGTGCCTGACGCAATGACAGAATTATTGGTCAGGAAACTGAGATTATGGCAAGTCAGGGATTGGGCTTCCTGCACTGAGTAACTGACCAAAGCCTGTTCCCCATCTACAAGGCACAAGTTGGGAGTCCAACGGAATGCTCCCCACTTGCCTGGATAGGTGCAGCCCCAACAACACCCAAGAAGCTCGACACCATCCAGGACAAAGCAGCCTGCTTGATGGGCACCACATCCACCCCTTCCACCACTGTCACCCAGTAACAGCAGTGTGCACCATCCACAAGATGCATTGCAGAAATTCACCAAGCTACCCATAATAGCACCTTCAAAACCCAACAACTCTACAATTTAGAAGGACAAGGGGCTGCAGATACATGGGAATACCACTACCCGCAAGTTTCTCTCCAAGCCACTTACCGTCCTGACTTGGAACTATGTCATGTTCTGCCACGGTAACTGGATCAAAATCCTGGAATTGCCTCCTAACAGCATTGGGGGATTATTACAGCATATGGATTCCTGCAGTTCAAGGCAGCAGCTCACCATCATTTTCTCAAGGAGTTCAGGATGGGTAGCAGACGCTGGCACAGCCAGCAATGCTCATGTGCCACGAATTAATCATAAAATGCAATAGTTTTGGTCTTTCACTTTGACATAGGAGGAAAGTTATATTCATCCACGGCTGGAAGCCTGAGCTATGGTGACATGTGAGCCTGGCAGAGGAAATGACAGCGCTGCATGTTACTGGCTTTCTGTGAAACCTGATGAAGGGGCAGTGTCATGGAAAAGAGAGGGGAAAGTACAGGAGGAGAATGGTGCAGTCAATTATGTTTACAGGTCAGTGAGAGTGAGTGTGCCAGGAACAAAGAGAAAGGATAGTGCACTGTGGTCACAATCACATCGCAGATTACCAGTGAGTTTTAATTGCAGTGATGAGTGAAATGAAATAAGCAGAAAAAGGACTGGAATGATACCAAACTGAAATAACAGGAGATGTGTTATAGAGTTCAGTGTCACAGTGAGAGACAAGACTATAGATAGAAAAGAGGGTGGAATAAACAGGTCCCATCTTCACAGCAGCTACAAATACTGGAAATTCAACTGTGTTAGAATTGTGGGAAAGATGATCCCACTGAAATCCGATATATTTGCTATGACAGCTATGCACTATGTCAACATGGAATTCACCTCAAAACAGTTACATTCAGACCTTGTTCAGCTATTCACAAAGAACACCTCCAGTTGGAAGAAAATAAACAGAAACACACTTGAGACACTTTCAAGTAGCAGTTTACTGTCAAGGTTCTATTTCTAGGTAACATCACAGATTGGGCACCTTAAACATTAATATTAAAGTATATTTCAATTTTTAATTAGATACCCAACTGTTGAGTACAATGCACCATTCAGGGTAAACCTACCTGCTAGATAGGATTTCAAACAATTCGATTCCTTACCTGGTGGATGTACTGGTCTTCTCTGCTGTCAACATAAGGCGAGCAAATGCATCAGTCATTCGATTTACTGTACCAGAGTCTTCCAGTTTACATGTGGTCAGTTCGTACAGTTCTGGGTCAACACCTGTAAGATACGGTGGAACAGGATCAGAGAACTTGTCCTGCAGCCAAATGGAGCTCAGCCACGCAGCTACCAATATAGCTCCAAGCCCAGGGTTCTGCCTTCTGTAAACATCTGAAATTTTTATATAATATCACCAAACTGCCAGCAAGTTTCAATCCGTATTGTGCAATCTCAGTGAAGTTTCCAAATCTCACAAAGAATTAACCAAGTCACCACTGAGGAGAGTTTAAAGTGGTGACATTTTATTGTGCATGACATAAAACAGATTCTCTGTAAAAGTGGCACATTTTTGCACAATTATATAGTGGAGACTGCTCAAAATTTAAAGGAAACTCAAAATTAAACAGTTTTCCCACATCTCACTACCCCATAAATTCCTCTTTAATAATAGTTACTGTAACCCGTTCTCAGGAAGGGTCACTGGACCCAAAACATTAACTCTGATTTTTTCTTCACAGATGCTGCCAGACCTGCTGAGCTTTTCCAGCAACTTCTGGTTTTTGTTCCAGTCATTGCAACTTGGTTGCTCCTAAAACCTGGCATTTTTAATACCTGGTACAACATTGACTAAATGATTTCAAATAGAGTCACTGAGTTGTACAGCACAGAAACAAGGCCCTTCACAACTATCTGACAGTTCAATGAGTTCTTCCTAGTTTGCAAATTTTTGATCCTGAGACTAGCAACAAAAAATGCAGACACTGGATAAATTTTACCTCTCAATGTGTTATGTGATTAATGGAAACTACAGAAAATTAAGATTATGGTTGCTAGCAGTAGCAAATTTATAATCTTGGAAAATGGGTCATCTAAGTTTAGAACAGTACACGGAAAGAATGTAAAGTGACAAACTAAGAAAATTAGAGTCACAGAGCAGCCAGGATTACAGACTAACTTGAAAAGTCAGGACATTCATGAGAAAATCAGGATATTCACGTGAAAAGTCTAACGGCTGTAGAAACATAAGAACTAGGAGGAGTGGGCCATTCAGCCCCTTAAGCCTGCTCCGCCATTTAATAAAGGTCATGGCTGACTTCATCTCGGTCTCAATTCCACTTTCCATAACCCTTCAACTCTGCTCCAATTTCGGAATATCCCAGCAACCCCCACACGCTGGGGGAGTGAATTCCACAGATCCACGACTCTTTGAGAAGTAACTGCTCTTCATCTTTGTTCTAAATATGCTTATTCTAAAACTGTGACCAATTGTTCTAGATTGCCCTGCAAACAAGGAAATGCTGAAAATCACAGCGAGTTAGGCAGCATCCATGGAGAGAAAGCTAACGGTTCAAGTCTAGATGACTCTTCAGAGCCCTGAATGAGACTCGAAACGTTAGCTTGCTCTGTCTCCATGGATGCTGCCTGATTCGCTGTGATCTCCAGCATTTGTTGTTTTCAGTACAGATTCCAGCATCTGCAGTAATTTGCTCCTATGTTCTAGATTGCTCTATGTGAAGAAACATCTTTCCTAGGTCTACTTTATCAATCTCCTTTTGGATCTTATATACTTCGATAATACCTCCTCTCATTCTTCTAATCTCTAGAGAATACAGGCTTAAACTGCTCAATCTCCCTTCATAAGGTAAACCCCTCACCTCTGGAATCAATCTAGTGAACCTTCTCTGAGCTGCCTCCAATACAATTACATTCCTTCTCAAGGGGCCAGAACTGTACACAATACTCTGGGTGTGGTCTCACTAATGCTTTGTGTGCTTCCAGCAACACTTTTACACTCTTTTCCTTTAGCAATAAATGCCAAAATTCCATCTGTCCTCCTTATTACCAGCTGTACCCGCATCCTCGTTTTCTGTGATTCATGCAGATGATACCCAGATCCCTCTGCGCGGAAGCACTCTCAAGCTTCTCTCCGTTGGGATAATAAATGGCAACAAACAGACCATAAGTGTTCAAATGAAACATTTCAAATCTCAGCTTATCTTGATTTGCAGAGGACACAGAATGAGAAAAGAAAATCTAAAAACAAATAAAGGCTGTAATGAATACCCAAGAAACAGAAACACAAAAATGCTTAGGTCCAAAGAATTCAATAAAGGAATAGTCTTACAAACAGGTCCAGGTAAGCCCATTCACTGAAATCTTGTGTCTTTTTATGTATAGAAAGCAAAGAAACAGCTCTGACCTTTCCAAACTACATGTTCAATGTGTTGTAAATCATTTGTCAAATCTATTTTCCTGGGAATTTGAGCACACACTTGCAAATGTATGAAACCATTCATTCGTTTTCATTAATCACAGTCTTGAATATCTCAAAGTCTACAACTTCTAATGCAGCAAATAATTTCACAATCTCAAGGTTACCAGTCTGCTTTCAACTTCATTAAACTAAAGTTTAACTAGATAAAAATGTGAACCTGACCCAAGAAAAAGATCATTTTGACGAAGCTTTAACCGAGAAACATAAGTAAGATGACAACCCCCAAAGTGGCAGAAATGCTCTTTGAAAATAGTCAAAATGCTACTGGAATACATGGACATGTCCACCATTTAAAACTCCAAACGGTAAAGTTTTTTTTAAAACATCTCAACAAATTGTGCAATCTGTGTTTCAGCAGACTCTCGACTCCTCAGTGAGCAGATGCATCAGCTGACGTTGTACAGAGCCAGACTAAGACCCAAAAGATCTTACTCCCAATATCCAACAACAAGCAAATTGATCCAAGACATGGTTCAGGCAGAAATACCTTTGTGTGGCCTTAAAGTGGAGGTATAATAAAAGGATAAGCTTCTACTTTTTACACGAGAGACAAAATTATCTAATTGTTTGTTTTGCCTTTGTGGCACACGCTTGTGAGTGTCTGTCATTAGTGGGGGCACAGTACAGTCTCTGCAAATGTAAACAGTTTGGGTGTCATGATATTTTGTTCCCCAACTGTTTCTCTGCCCTGCCACAGAAATATCCTACAGTACCGAGTAGGAGGAAGTTGATATAAAAGTATAATTATAATACATTTTTAACGTTTTTGTTCCCATGAGCCAGTTAACACGAGACCTAATATTAGCATTCAGCCACACAAATACCAGCAAAGATTATCTCTTATTGGAGATGGTCAATCAGCTCTTGGCATTCAATGGTGTTACCATCACTAATTTCCCACTATCAACATCCTGGAGATTACCACTGATCAGAAACAGAACTGGACCAGCCACGTAAACATGGTGGCTACGTGAGCAGGTCAGAGGGTAGGAATTGCGCGGTGAGTAACTCACCTCCTGACTCCCCAAAGCCTGCCCACCACGTACAAGGCACAAGTCATGAGCGTGATAGAATACTCCCTTCTTGCCAGGATGCGTGAAACTCTGACAACACTCATGAAGCTGGATATCGACCAGGACAAAGCAGCCCACTTGACTGGCACATCCACAGACATCCACTCCCTCCACCACCGATGCTTAGTAGCAGCAGTGTGTACCATCTACAAGATGCACTGAATATTTCATTAAAGGTTCCTTAGACAGTACCTTTGAAACCAATGATCACTTCCATCTGGAAGGACAAGGACAACTGGTACATGGGAGTACCATCCTCTGCGAGTTCCCCTCCTGGCCACTTGCCATCCTGACTTGGAAATATATTACTGTTCCTTCAACGTCTCGGTCAAAATCCTTGGACTCTCTGCCTCACAGCTTTGTGGGTGTCCCCATACCAAATGGATTGTAACACTTCAGGAAGCAGATCATCACCACCTTCTCAAGGGATGGGTAATAAATGTTGGCCTAGCCAGCAGTGCACATACCCATGAATGAAAACAAAACTAATATGTCTGAGTAAGATGTAAAGTAGTGGACAGTGGCATATTATCACTGATCCCCATCCTATCTCATTTTAAACTCACCTGGTTGAAGTTACCCCTGGCAAAAGGTCAAACATCAGCTTATTGACTTGGCAATGTGATGCTTCCTATGGCATCTTGAAAGGAATAGGTATCAACGTCTGACTGAATGACCAAGCCAAGTCAGAAACTGCAACTGTACACTGTTGCTCCTCTCTCAAGAGATACAGTATTCAGAATAAAGAACAGTGGTCACTGTAAAGCTCCATGGCTGCTCACTAGGTAAATACAGGGCATTCATTTCAATGCAGGTCTAAAAACAGCTGTGCTACAAAAACAGTTAAAGAATTAAGCCAAGTAAAAGGGCAGGAAAACCCAAAACCAACAAAGCAGAGGTAGAACATCAAGATCAACTCCAAACTGTAGAATTTCTAGATTATAGCAAAAACTGAAAGATAAATTTGTCTCGACATCCAACATCAAAAGGTCAGGTATTGTAAGTTACACTGAATTGGAAAGAACTGTTAAAGTTGAGTCAAGTTCAGGCAGAATGAGCTTAAAATCAGCTCCTCCAAAAGCTTGCACTTGTTCCTAGTTAGCTGCATGGGTACATCATATGTACCTGCCCTACAGCATGCAATACAGAGGGTAGTCTGCAGGTTGTTTTAATTTCACCCCTTACAAATGTTTAGAAATGTTCTCAAATATTTCAGCAGCTATTCATATTTAGACTTCCTCTTTGAAGTGCTAGGCAATTAACATTTCTAGATAGGCAGCAGTGAACAACGGTAGTCCGCATCTAATCAAAATGACACTTTTCAATTACAGGAAAACAACTGGCTCGAGGGAATTTTTTGAGACTGTATTCACAGAATGTGGAATTGTTGTATTTAATTGCCCATCCTAATTACCCTGGAGTTGTAATACAGCTTAGGTATTTGGAAATAATTTGAGAGCAGTGAAGAACATATTGGTGTGGGTCTGGAACCTCTGTCCTAAATAACTGATGGGACGGTCACAATCAGAGTATCTACCCTTTCAGAATATTGAAAGTTTCAATGTTCATTCAGCCTATCACAGGATAGCCCTTTCAACTCTAGGGCCAACCTAGTGAACCTTCACTGTACTGTCTCTAATGCAAGCATATCCTTCCTTAAACATGGCGACAGAAACTGAACGCAGTATTCTCAAGGTGTGGTCTCATCATAC